CATAGTGTTAAGGGCTTGGATGGAGAGAAATTTATTATACATGTTTAAGAAAATTTTCTTTTTCAATATGTAGGTGTACCTACTAGAGAAGGAGAAAATCCTTACCTTTTCTTGGGAAATAAGCCAGGACAAATGACTGAAATGTTAGTAGGGAAGCACTTTTGGACGAGTGATAATAGTTCTATTAGTTTTAAAATTGATATGGAAAGGATTAAGACTTGTAAAAAGTTAAAGTTCAAAATTGGAGTAAGGCAGTTTTGATTGTATGAGACAGGAACTTTCAAAAGTTAATTGGAGTAGACTGTTTTCAGGTAAAGGGGTAATTGACATGTGAGAGGTTTTCAAAGCTGAGACAATGAGAGTTCAGATGCAGATTCCTGTCAGAGTGAAGGGTAAAGCTAGTACAATGGGAACAATGGATGATTAAAGATGTTGAGGCTCTGGTCAAGAATAAGAAGGAGGCATATGCCAGGTATAGACAACTGGGAACAAGTGAATGTCTTGAAGAGTATCAGGGGTGCAGGGGCATTCTTAAGAGGGAAATCAGGAGGGCAAAGAGGGGATATTAGAATAGCCTTGGCAGGTAAGGTTAAGGATAATCCAAAGAGATTGTACAACTACATTAAGAGCAAAAGAGCAATTAGGGAGAGAATAGGGCCCCTTAAAGATCAACGAGATCATCTAAGTGTGGAACCACAGGAGATGGGAAAGATTCTAAACAAACATTTTGTGTCAGTATATAGAGTGGAGAAAGACATGGAGACCAGGGAACTCGAGGAAGTGAATATTGATGTCTTGAAAACAGTCAACAATTCAGAAAGGGTGGTGCTGGAGGTCATAAAAACCGTAAAGGTTGATAAATCTCTGGGACCTCATCAAGTGTATCCCAAGACATTGTGGGAGCTAGGGAAGAAATTACAGGGCCCCTAGCAGAGATATGTATATCATCTATAACCACAGGTGAGGTGCTGGAGGACTGCAGTGTGGCAAATATTGTGCCTTTATTTAAGAAATGCCTGGGAACAATAGACCGATGAATCTGACATCACTGGTGGGTAAGTTGTTGGAAGGGATTCTGAGAGATAGAATTTGCATGCATTTGGAGAGGCAAGGTTTAGCAATAGTCAACATGGCTTTATGCATGGGAAATCATGTCTCACAAACTTGATTGAGTTTTTGAGGACGTGATCAAAAAGGTAGATGAGACCAGAGTGGCAGACATTGTTTACATGGACTTTAGTAAAGCCTTTGTCCAGGTTCCACAAAATAGTCTGACTAGTAAAGTTAGATCACGTGGGATTCAGGGAGAGTTAGCCAATTGGATGCAAAATTGGTTTGATGGAAGGAGACAGAGGGCGGTGGAGGGTTTTTTCTCAGATTGAAGGCCTGTGACCAATGGTGATCTGCAGAAATCTGTACTGGGTCCACTTTTGTTTGTCATTTATATAAATGAATTAGTAAGTTTGTGGATGACATCAAAATTGGTGGTATAGTCGACAGTGCAGAAGGTTATCTAAGATTACAAAGGGATCTCAATTAATTAGGCCAACGGACTGAGGAGTGGCAGATGGAGTTTAATTTGGATAAATGTAAGGTATTGCATTTTGGTAAAATGAATAAGGGCAGGACTTAAAAAGTAAATGGTAGGGCCCTGGAAGTGTTATCGAACAGAGAGATCTCAGGGTTCAGCTACATACTTATTTGAAAGTTGAATCACGGGTATTAAGGTGGTAAAGAAGGCATTTTGCACGCCTGCCTTCATTGCTCAGACCATGTCATATTAAGGTTGTACAGAACATTAGTGAGGCCATCTTTGGAGTACTGTGTACAGTTCTGGTTGCCCTGCTATAGGAAGGATATTATTAAATTGGAGAGGGTTCAGAAAAACTTTACCAGGATGTTGCCGGGACTGGAGAGTATGAGTCATAAGGAGAGGCTGGATAGGCTGGGACTTTTTTCACTGGAGTATAGATGGTTGCGGGGTGACCTTATGAAGATTTATAAAAACAAGAGAGGTATAGATAAGGTGAATAGCAAAGGTCTTTTCACTAGGGTGGGGGAGTTTAAAACTAGAGGGCATAATTTTAAGGTGAGAGGAGAAAGATTTAAAAAGGACCTGATGGGCAATTTCTTCACACAGAGGGTGGTTCAAAAGTGGAAGGAACTGCCAGAGGAAGTGGTGGATGCAGGTACAGTTACAGCATTTAAAAGACATTAGAATAGGTACATGGATAGGAAAGTTTTAAAGAGATATGGGCCTAATACAGGCAAGTGGGGCTAGCTTAGTTCAGGAAACTGGGATGAGTTGGGCTGAAGGGTCTGTTTCCATGCTGTATGATTTAATGACAAGACAAAGGGAAGGAGGGAAGAAGAACAGATAAAAATACTGAATTAAGATGACAGAAGGACGAGTGTCAAGAGAGTGAAAGAGAAAAGCGACAGATAATAAATGATGGGAACAAAATAGGGAAGAAATGAGTAAACAGGTCATTTTCTGAGTGGCAGCCAGTGACTGGTGAGGTACCACAGGGACCAGCTATTCAAAATGCATATTAATGATTAGATAAGGGATTTAAATGCAATATTTCCAAGTTTACAGATGAAATAAAGCTGGTTGGGAGTGTGAACTGTGAGGACCATGTAGAGATGCTTCAGTGTGACTTAGACAAGATGAGCGAGTGGTTAAATGCATGGCAGATGAGGTATAATGGGGATAAATGTGAAATTATTCACTTTGGTATCAAAAATTGGAAGGCAGCTTATTGTCTGGATGAAGACAGATTGGTAAATCTCTTGATGCAATGAGACCTGGGTGTGCTCGTATGTTAGCTACCAAAAGTTAGCATTCTAGGTTCTGCAAGCAGTGAAGAAGGCAAATGGTATGTTGGCTTCATAGTGAGAGGATTCAAGTACAGGAGCAGGGATGTCTTGTTGCAATTGTGCAGGGCCTTGGTGAGACCACACTTGGAGTACTGTGTGCAGTTTTAGTCTCCTTACCTGAGGAAGGATATGCTGGCTGTGGAAGGAATGTAACAAAATTTTACCGGACTGATTCTGGGGATGGCTGGATTGAAGTATGAAGCTTGGTTAGGGCTTTATTCACTGGAGTTTAGAAGAATAAGGGAGATATCTCATAGAAACCTATAAATTTCTAACAGGATTAGTCAGGGTAAATACAAGAAGGGTATTCCCGATGGTCAGGCAGTCTAGAACCAGGGATCAAACTTTCAGGACATGGGGTAGGCCATTTGGCGCTGAGATGAAGAGAAATTACTTCACACAAACAGTGGTGAGCCTGTGGAATTCTCTGCTATTAAAAGCAAATAGAGGCCAAACATTTAATGCTTTCAAGAAGAAGATAGATAAAGTTCTTAGGGCTAAAGGGATCAAAGGATATTGGGAAAATGGGTGAATAGCCATGATCATATTGCATGATGGAGCAGGCTTGAAGGGCCGAATGGCCTATTCCTGCTCTTGTTTTCTATGTTTCTGCATATAAAATTGAGGTGGAGAGAGATTGATAGATGAGCCATGTTTCAGTTTCTTCTTCTACAGATTTTCTTCTATAAAGTTCTTACAGATGTTTTGCTGGGTGGATGTGCCTTGAGAATGTAAGTTTAGCATTGAGCCCGGTACTGCTTAAAGAAAAACCACATGCTGTCAAAGCTTTTCATCTTGCCTAACAGGACAGAATTGCAAGAATACCAAATCTCAAGAGAACAACAGTTATACTGCACAAGAAGAGGGTGCTGATTGGTTAGTAAGTGGACTCAGACTGGTACAGATAGAGGTAGATATTGGTACCAATCAGGCTCCACTAGACAACCAATCAGCGCAGTCTTCTCATGCATTATAAACTGCCCAATCTTCCAATCAGGTTTCCATCACTGTTTCAATACTACAATAGTATGAACCAAAGTCACAAACGACATCCTCTCTATCTGTGATATTATTCCTCGTCATCATCTTCTGCATCTTTATGACCTTTGGTTGATTTCACATTCGCCTTCAATCCTTTACCTCAGTTGTAAAGCTCAATGGTTACACAGTTACAAATTCAATCATTGCCAGAGTAGATCCAGCAAGGTCTTCTTGTCTCATTCCATCATTGTTAACTAAGGAGTTCTCTAGAGATTCTGTCTCCTCAATGCTTAGCTCTGACTCTCCTTCATATGCATACCACTTGGTCATGTTCTGCATGTAGGGATGGTATCTACATGAGCACTGACAACCTCCAGCTTGACCTCATCACACCTCTATTCTATATTGTTATTATTCTTCCCTCAGAGAGCAGTGTGGGTTAGATCATTGAACATACTGAAGGCTGAGTCAAACAGATTTTGATTAAGCAGACTATTGAAGGTTTATGGAGGTGCAGGCAGGAAAGTGAAATTGAAATCACAATCAAATCAGCTGTAATGTAAGCTAAGTGGCTTAATTCTCTTGGTTCCATTTCTCATGTTCTTATATAAACCCTCCATGTTTGTCTGGAATTCCACATTCTCAAAAGAGGCACAATTTTCTCCAGTTAAACACGAATGCACCATTGTCATCGCCCTAGACACAAACCCCACTTCTTTGCCCCTGACTGTAATCCTTGCCTCTGCTATTCTGCAAGCCTGAACTGATCTTCCTGCAACCACAATGGTCCGTTTCTACCTAATACACAAAATATACTGGATGGCATTTCACCATTACCCTCCTTGACCCAAAAACCATTGAAAGATGGATGACCCACTTGCTGTGGTGCAGAAATCAATAGTTCTGCTCCAGATATTGCTCACACGTTCTCCTACTCAACTCATGTTTCCTCAAATCATCAATTCAAACCATAGTGTAAAGTTTTTGAAAAAACCTCGGTAGATACCAGCTAATTTCTAGATTGACATCCAGTTTTCTCACCCCTTTAAACCTTGCAGATATTGTGCACCATGACCTTCAGACTTTAATGCATGAGAGAAAGCCTAATAAATGCCTGTTTCTACTTTCTCTCTTTTCAGGTTGACACACACATCCACGCAGCAGCCTGCATGAATCAGAAGCATCTCCTACGCTTCATAAAGAAGTCCTCGTGCATTGATTCAGATCGCATTGTCTGGACTTCCAAAGACAAGAAGTTAACCTTGAAAGAGCTCTTTGATAAGCTGAAGCTGAATGCCTATGATCTGACGGTTGATTCACTGGATGTGCATGCAGTAAGTGGACTCAGTTACATTTAGGGTCTTCCTGTGTGTGTTTGAAGGTGTGTGGGTTTGGAGGAATGATACAAGACTGAAGGCCATATTTCTTGATGGACTCTCCCTTTGCATAAGTCACTTTGATGGGCAGGAGTGCTGAGTTTAGCCTGTATGAGTAACCTTTGAGAGTGAGTGGTTAAGGCAGGGCCACAGAATGTTAGAGTACACTGATGGCAACACAAGTTATTGGCCTTACTGCTCTGCTTCTGAAAGCAGATGTCTGATGGGATTTCTTACATGGAGTCTGACCTCTGTTTTGGAATTTGGCTTGTATGGGACATTATCTATCTTTCATAGACACAGCTTTTGTATTTCCTTTGGGAAAGGCATTTTACTAGACAGCTATCCACGTATCGGTACCTATTGATTTTTTTTTTGTAATGAAGTAACGGTAACAAAGCAGTTGATATGGAGTCCATGGACTTCCAAAATCCATTTGAAGAGATAGCATGGACCAGGCTTGTCATTTATTTATTAAATGAGAAAGGATAGCAGCAACATGGAGATGAAATTGGCTGAGCGACAGGAAACAGAGAGTTGTGTAAAGCAGAGATAGCAGGAACTGCAGATGCTGGAGAATCTGAGATAACAAGGTGTAGAGCTGGATGAACACAGCAGGCCAAGCAGCATCAGAGGAGCAGGAAGGCTGACGTTTCGGGCTTAGAAAGCAGTTGTTTTTCAGAGTGGAGGAAGGGATATGATTGATTAACTTAATCAGAAACAGAATATCTAGTCTTTATTGTTGCACGTAGGAGTTTGCTGTGAATGAATTAGCTGCCACGTTTCAAAAGTACTTCACTCCCTGTAAATCCCTTTGAAATGATGATCATGGCCAGCATTATATAAATGTGAGTCTTTGGCCTGCTGTGTTCCTCCAGCTCCACACTGTGTTATCTTTATTTGTCATGCGTCTGTTACAAACTGGCACACCTTAAAGATTGACAATTGGATTGTATCGAATGTATTCAGGATACCTACAGATGTCAATGCATTTCAAATTAGAGGGTACAGGTATAATTTTAAATATTTATTCCAGTGAAGAAGGCCCAAGTAGAACCTAACTCCAGTTTTAACATTGCCTCCTATGGGAATCAATGCTTCACATTGATACAATTGATGTTATAATACAGCTGATCACGTTATCAGGGCCACTGATGTGACCAGCTTTGTTTTTCCGTTCTGTTTTTACTAAATATTGATTAGGATTTTGTAATAAGTGGTGAAAAGCATGGGTATTTGCAGCTGATCTTGACCCCAGCTACAAGCTTACCTCATGTGCAAGTGGTTCAGGATTTCAGCAGCCAGCAGGGTAGATAGCCTCATGCTGTGGGTCTCACTGTAGCCATTCACTGATCTATGTCCATACAGTGAAAGGATGGAGAAGATGGGTTTGTGTTCGGAAGCAGTAAGCATGAAATCTGTCAAACCCAAATGGTTCTAGTGTCTGTCATGTTAAAAAAGTATTTGAAACCAAAAACCTAATGGTACTTTTTTAATTCACTCATGAGATGTGGGCGTCGCTGGCTGGCCAACATTTCTTGCCCATCCCTAGTTGGCCTTGAGAAGGTGGTGGTGAGCTGCCTTCTTGAACCGCTGTGCTCTTCCTGCTGTGGGTTGACCCACAATGCTATTGGGGAGGGAATTCCAGGATTTTGACCCAGCGACAGTAAAGGAACAAAAGTTCCAAGTTAGGTTGGCGTGTGGTTTGGAGGGGGCCTGCAGATAATGGGATTGTCCTGTATCTACTGCCATTGTGTTCTAGATGGTAAAGTCGTGGGTTTGGAAAGTGCTACATTCAGCAAATATCTGTAGTGTATCCAGTAGATGGTACACTCTGCTGCCAATGTGCCGCTCGTGAAGGAAGTGACTGTGGAAGGTAGTGGATAGGGTATCAATCAAACAAACTGTTTAGTGTTCAGCTTCTTGAATGCTGCAGGAGCTGCACTTATTCAGACAAGTGGACTGTAAAAAATCCGAAATTTATGATTATTTTTAAACGTCACATAAATTATTTTAAAAAGCTATGTGCATTAAACATATAAAATGTATAACAAATCTTGTTTAAAAAGCTAATTGCAGTAAACATTTAAAAAGCCTGATGTCTTATTAAAGTCATTCTGAAAATTTGAAAATCTGATGAACCATGTTGAATTTATTTGAAGAATTGAAGCGATCTTTTGGAAAGTTGTAATAGCTACCCTTACCTGACAGCAAAGTTCCTTCGGGTTCCAGTGTCCTCAAGGACTTGGAGTCATAGAGTCATACAGCACAGAAACAGACCCTCTGGTCCAACCAGTCCATGCTGACCTTGATCCCAAACTGAACTAGTCCCACCTGCCTACTTCTGGTCCATATCTTTCCAAACATTTCTTATTCATGTACTTATCCAAATGTCTTTTAAATGTTGTAACTGTACCCACATCTATCACTTCCTCTGGAAATTCATTCCGCACATGAACCACTCTCTGTGTAAAAAAAAAATTGCCCTTCATGTCTTTTTTAAATCTCTTTCCTCTCACTTTAAAAATATACCCCGTAGTCTTGAAATTCCCCACCCTAGGGAAAAGGCATCTGCTTATCTATGCCTCTCATTATTTTATAAACCTTTATAAGGTCAACTCTCAACCTCCTACGCTCCAGTGAAAAAAAACCCCAGCCTATCCAGCCTCACCTTCTAACTCAAATCCTTCAATCCTGGCAACATCCTGGTAAATCTCTTCTGAACCCTCTCCAGCTTAATAATATCCTCCCTATAACAGAGAGGCCAGAACTGCACACAGACTCCAGAAGAGGCCTCACCAACATTCTGTACAACCTCAACATAACGTCCCAACTCCTATACTCAAAGGACTGAACAATGCAGGCAAGCATGATAAATGCCTTCTTAACCACCCTATCAATATGTGATCCAAACTTCAAAGAATTATGTACCTGAGCCCCTAGGTCTCTCTGATCTACAATATTACCCAAGACCCTACTTTTAATTGTATAAGTCTTGCCTTTGTTTGTTTTACCGAAATCCAATAGCTCTGATTTATCCAAATTAAACTCCATCTGCCACTCTTCAGCCTATTGACCCAATTGATCAAGATCTCTTTTAAATCTTAGATAACCTTCTTCAGCGTCCGCTACACCACCAATCTTGGTGTCATCCGCACACTTACTAGCCATGCTTTCTACATTCTCATCTAAATCACTTATACAAATAACAAACAAAAGTGAACCCACAACCTGTGGAACACCGTGGTTACAGGCCTTGTGAAATGGAAGGAGATTCATAGTGCTTTGAAATATAAGTTTGAAAACTTTTCAGTTGGAACAATTCATCGCAAGTGGGCACTCAGACCAGTTTCTTACTTTCACCATTTCAATCTGCATGTTGATAGCTGACGCTCCAAAGCCCCCAGAGCAGCAATAATTTGCACGTTTATGAGTTGCAGTGCAACCTCTGATTGTAATGGAGCTCACCATTGTACAAAGATGGTGAATGCTAAAAGCTTCACTGTGATTATGTTTGCAAACTCCACCTTATTATTCCAGGAATTGTTTAGGAAACTGAGTTCTACAACAGTTAATATTTCTGTGCAAACAGCAGACCAGTATGGGCACGGAAGCTGAAAAAGCTCAGCAGGCCAGGCAGTATATGTGAAAAAATAAATATTGCTTAATGGCTTTTAAGTGGAAGAACCTTCCAAATCATTTGAGAGGAAGTCTGGTACGTGGTTACCAAATACATACAGACATTGTGATTGATTCGTTATGAACAGGTTATATCATTTTTTAAAATGAAGCTAATAGTTATGAATCTCTAACAAGCATAGGAAGCAGGCCAAACAGTATAAAAAGCGATGATGAACATTTCAGTGGATTGAATCCAACAAATTGTGATCCCCTCTGAGAGATCGGTAGATTTTAGTTACATCTCATAATGATATGAGAATGAGGGAGCTGTGTTTATAGCAACTGTTGGTAACAGTTAGTGTTTAGATTCGGAAGATTAGATTTTAGGTCTTTTTGGGACCTCAGACTTGCTCATGCCCGGTCCACTGGTTACAGTCAAAGTGAGCACTAAGACTGACAGACTGCCATAAAGGCTCAATTGGTTCAAGAGAGTTCTTTAGGGAAGCATACCCTCTCAACTTTGCCTCGACTGGCCTGCAAATGACTCTAGTCTCAACATCAACCTTTAAAGTAGCTTAGTAACATATTTGGTCAGATCAACTCGAGATGGGCAGTGAATGCTGAATTTGTTAGTGATGTCCTCATCCAGAGAACAAATAATAATACAAATGTAGGATATGAAATGCAGGAACTAACAAGTTTGAAATTATGTTTAATCAGGGTCGTCAGACTTTCCAACGTTTTGATAAGTTTAATGCCAAGTACAATCCAGTGGGTGCCAGTGAACTCCGTGACCTTTACCTGAAGACAGAGAATGCCATTGAAGGAGAATACTTTGCTCACATCATAAAGGTAAAGTCTTATCGATTTAATAGATTTGTTTCCACATCAATTTCTACGTCCTATGCTGCTCTAAGCCTCACTCAGGCACTGGTTGCTCGACAAGAGCACTCTGTCCCAATATATCAAACTGTGATGCCCTCATCTCCAAGAGCCACAATGACATCTCTCCTCCTGTGTGTGAAATCTACCATGCTCTTTGCTCTTTGAACTATGACCTCTTTGTATATCCCTCCTCCCTTCTAGCCACACTGTCAGTAGACCCTCCAGCGGGGCTGGTGGTGGGGACCGAGGCTGAGCCCCGTAGTTATCTGTTTTTTATTTCTTTTCATGTTTACATAAAAGTGTTAAATTGGCAGTTCCCTGGGACTTTTCCAGAATCTACATAAATGGGGCTAATGTAAACTTGGCCAAGTTGGTATCTATGGGGAATGACGGGTCACACGATGTGCCTAGAATCCTGATTGTCCATTTAGAACAGAACTGGATGCATTATGGACACTCTGATCAGATTCAACGGCAGTGACCTTGAACGGGACCAAGCAAACAGACAAAAGTGGTAAATTATTTTGGGGGATACTGGAGGAATATTTCTGCTTCTTATAGGTTCCCAGAATTCCAAGCAGCTTCCTCCTCCTTTTCCCCCTAGAATGTATCATGGGCCACCTGAATCCAGCACAGTGTGTAGGCAAAGCCATTTAATAGTGAGCAGTTTACCAGTCCAATTTAAATGTGGAGTAGGACTCTCTCACCTTAATACCAAATGATCAATGATCTTCCATAATCCATCTGAAAGTTGCAATCTACCCAAATGTGAAAAGGTCGTCTGAGGGTTTAGCTGTGATGGCACATAGGGTCAAATAACTCATCACCACTCAATGCTCAGGCTGATATAAGGAGTAATGTTTCTTGGGCAAGTATGGGACAGCTGCTGGGCAACAGTAGCCCAGTTTGAACTGGTCATCAAGAGAGATGGATGGAAAATTAAAGAAATACAATGCTCCTTATTCGTCTGCAGTACCAACACCTTCCAATCATCTAATGCTTCTACAAACCCTTAAATCTTAAGGTGCATTAACCTCAAGAAAATTGGTGGGCAAGCTTTTCTTTGTTTATTTTCAAAAAGGCAATTGATGTTGCTCAGAAGCCAAAAAGTTATAATTACTCTGGAATTGATCCTTCTCTCTGCATTTAAATTGCATTAATTAACAACTCTGTGTGAACCTAGAGTCTGAGTTTGGTTTGCAATCCTTCAGTCTATTATACTTCTCAAATTCCGACATTTGGAAAACTTTCTCTGCTCCTTGTTCTCTCTGTTTAAGAAGGTAACTGGCAATGTACAGACACAGATGATTTCTGAAAGCAGGCTCTTGTAGCAGCCAGACTGGGATGATTTCGAGTCATAGAGACATACAGCATGGAACCGGGCCCTTAGGTCCAACATGTCCATGCCAACCAGTCCGTACTGGGAATAAAGCCGATCTTTATCTCCCTTTGTGAGAAGCCTCAGATTTTACGCCTACAAATATTATTCCTCACTAACTTTGATGGAAACCCAAATTAAGAAGATGTCCAAAGTTGTGCAGGTTAGATGGATTAGCCATGCTAAAACTCGCCCTGTAGTGTCCAGGGATGTGCAGGGTAGGTGGGTTAGCCATGGTAAAGACTCCATGTAAAGTTACGGGGATAGGGTGGGGAGAGGTAAGTCTGGGTGGGATGCTCTTCAGAGGATTAGCGCAGACTCGATAGGCTGATTGGTCTCTCTCTGCACCGTAGTGATTCCATGATTGTATGAATCTAGGCTGGGTGAAAAACCAAAGTTGTGCTTGGTTGTGATGGCTACCTGCTGGCGGGGTTGGGTTAAAAGCACAGTCGTTAATGTCTTTCCTCCCCACTGGGAAATGACTGGCAGTGGAGGTACAAAGCAGCAGAAACATTGGTGTGAATTCAATCACCAGCTCTCGGTATGTCGATGTGTGTGTCTGTCCCAACCCATGAACTCGCACAATGTCCTGAAATACAGTAATGGCTGTTGGTCATACTGGTGTTGTCTCTGTATTGTTGCAGGAAGTGGCGTCAGATTTGGAAGATGCCAAGTACCAACATGCAGAGCCACGTTTGTCCATCTATGGGCGGTCACCAGATGAGTGGACTAAGCTGGCAACTTGGTTCATCAAGCACAGGGTCTTCTCCCCCAAAATGAGATGGATGATTCAGATCCCCAGAATTTAGTAAGTCAAAAGCTGAACCAGAAAAGAGTCGCTTAAGAGTTCAGAGATAGTAGGAACTGCAGTTGAGTTGTTGGCCAGACTCTGATCGAGACAGGTTGCTGATGTATGGCAAACTGAAGGGAATGGGGTGTGCACAGGGCACCCCAAAGGGTTACAAAGCAGGAGAGAAGGTGAAGAAACTTAGAAAATTGAGATTTCTCAGTCAGTCTCTGAATTTTTGTTTGCTGTTAGAATGGCGGTGTGCGTTTAAAAAGAAAGTTCCGGGCAATTTGCGCTCTGAGTTCCGTTCGCGTACAATTGGAGGCCAACACAAGTTTTCTTGTATCGATCCATTCTTGACAACTCCAAAACAATCTGATCTGGGAGGGAGAGAAGTGGAGGTATGGTATAGTACAAGCTGTCACAAGAAGTGTCCCATCATCTGGGAATTCTGAACATGGAATGACAGGATGATGGGAGGCTGGGATTAATGTTTCTTAACAGTGAGGCCGCTACACCTCAGGGTAGCCACTTGGTCATACTGATACTTTTATTTTCACAGATATGGGAAGTCCAGCCTCTGCGTCCATCCCTAATTGCCCTTGCACTGGATGGTATGCGCTGCTATTTCAGAGCCTAACCCAATTAAGATCAGCAGTATTGCTCTGTGTCTAAAGTCACATGTAAGTTTTCATTCCTGAAGGGGCATTAGGGAGCCAGATGGATTTTACAATAACTGGCTGATTACCCAGATAGCAGTCACACTCACTAGTTTCCAGTTCCAGATTTATTTATGAACTAAATTTAAATTCCACCAGCTACCGGGATGAGATGTGAACCTGAAGCAGTAACCTGGCTCTCTGGTATACCAGCTCAGTGAGATTACCACTGTGCCATCATCTCCTCAAACTGAAGAGAAAGTCTGAGTGGCGGAAAACAGACAAAAACTGAACAGGATTCCTCATATGAAGGAGAATGTATAACAATATCTGAAATATCTTGACAGTTCCAACTTGGTCAGAGATAGTAGGACCTGCCGATGCTGAAGTCTGAGATAACAAGGTGCGGAGCTGGATGAACAACTTGGTGATGTTGCAAAACACAATCAGGTTGAAACGCAGTGAAGGGGTTATTGATTTTCTCCATCGCTTCTTAAAGACCTGAAGTTTCTGCTTATTTGTATATATTTTGATTTTTGGTACCAAATTTGCTTGCTTTGTTTCTGATCACTTTTGTTTTAATTCTTACTTTCAAGTGATATTTTCAGAGCCCAAAACTTTATCCCACACTTTGGAAAAATGCTTGAAAACATCTTCATGCCAATTTTTGAAGCAACGGTGAACCCTCAGGATAATATCAAGCTCAGCATCTTCCTGAAACACGTGAGTGAGGATTGCCAAACTGATCAGATCCATTGCCCTTTAATGGACTCAGTAACTTTGTACATGATAGAAGCCTCTGATAGAGTTAGAAGCTCTTCATTGATTTCAATGGACATGAGGAAAGATGTAAAAATAGCTCCCATTTGTCTATCACCCACCTGACAATATTGTACTAAAGTGAAATTTACCTTGGAATTTTTGAGATACACTACACTGATTTCATCACTTATAAAATTTTCTGATTGTTGTCCTCAATTTTGAGGCCTTTTCTACATATCACCACAGAGGCTGTTATTCCGTTATAGCAGCAAACAAGTGTTGTGTGGTAGCAATGCTGTTTGCCCTTCAAATTGTTTAAAATGGAATGGGTCCTGAGAACTGTTCATCTCTCAAAACCAAATTGTATGTGCATTAACAGGAGGGTTTAAACTTTGTGAATTTGTCTACATGACAACTGTCATTGAGCCACATCTGAGTAAACAGCTGTGATTCAGTGGGTGGCTCTGAGCTCAAGTCCCTTGTCGAGATCTTAAGCACAAGCTCAAAAACTAACCTGGATGAGATCAGAAGAGGGGAAGTGGTGGGGCTATGTGCCTGTCAACTTCCCGACTCTCTTTGATTCACTCGGAGCAGGCAAGATCAAGGATGATTCCCCACTCTGAGGTTAACTGAGAGCCTTAAAAACTGGTCAATGTCTATTTCTGATAGTGAGGGAGGGGAATGTACAGCCCAGGCCAGAAATAGTTGTAGCCTCCATGCAAGGTAAGAGAGTGGGTCAGGGGTGAGCCTTCCCGCTCAGGCATCTTTTGGCCCTCAGAAGGCTTCCATTGAGGCATGTGCCACCCCTCAAACCCCTTCCTTTGGCAGGTCCTGCCGAGTGGGCCCCTGCTCCATCTCTATCTTCCTCCATTGTTGTTAATCTGGAGAAGTTGCAGTACCAGCAGTGTCCACCATACCCAGTGGCAGTGCTGAGACTGAAGTGCTGCTGGACATCCAATTGGTCAGTAGCTCTGGGAGGCAGGATCTTCAATGCAAAGGAACAGATGCCCCCGACACCAGGCAATTAACTACCGGATGGGCTTGCTATAGCATCTGAGCACCTTATTTTCAGTCAATTTCCCAGACAGTGGACACGGTGGTCCAGTGGTTAACACTGTTGCCTCACAGTGCTGGGGACCTTAGCTTGTTTCCAGCCTCGGGCAACTGTCTATACGGGGTTTGCACATTCTCCCTGTGTCTGTGTGGGTTTCCTCTGGGTGCTCCGGTTTCCTCCCACAGTCCAAAGATGTGCGGGTTAGGTGGATTGGCCATGCTAAATTGCACATAGTATCCAGGAATGTGTAGGTTAGGTGGGTTAGCCATGGGAAAATGCAGGGCTACAGGGATGAGGTGGGGTGCGTGGGTCTTGGTGGGATGCTCTTCGGAGGATTGGCATAGACTTGATGGGCCAAATGGTCTGCTTCCATAATGTAGGGGATTCTATGAATTTAGTCCTTACAGTGCAGTCCTAAGGAAAGACTATTAAGAATATTGAGTTTTGGATGTGATATTAAACCGTTTCCCTCATATCCTCAGACGAATCATAGAGGAGTGTTGTAGCCAATCACAAAAGTAGGTTATTGGATTGTTATCACATTGCTGTTTGTGGCAGCTTGCTATGTGTAAATTTTCCTGCCATATTGCCTACATTACAACATTGATGATACTTAAAAGTTTTTGCTTGGCTGTTAAGGCACTGAGGTTACACAAGGTGCTATATAAATGCTGGTTTTGCTTTCTTTACAACAGACTGATAGGTTTGATATGAAGCAGCTTGGGGTGGTTAAGATAGATGGTGTTCAGGCAGCGTATAAACGCAAGTCTTTATTGTAGAAGCGAAGAATTCTGTACGATTCATGATTATTTAATGCTGGCTAATGAACTTCATCTCGTCCTTTCCTAAATTCCCTAGATCACCGGGTTTGACAGTGTTGATGATGAGTCCAAACACAGTGGCCACATGTTCTGCACAAAGAGCCCCAAACCGGAGGAATGGAATATGCCGAAGAATCCTTCATACTCTTACTACCTCTGTTATATGTATCTTAACATCATGGTCCTCAACAACATCCGAAGGTAAAGCCCTTCCATCAGGCATGAGCTCCGATAGGAGACTGTGAACCCTGCTGCTATATTTGTTGATCATTTACATGGACAGAGACCACTGATTAATTCCTCATATCATTATGTTACCAGATACTTCCACCTCTGTAACACTGACCATTCCTCACCCCTGCCTTGGATGCATTCAGCAGTTTGTTACCTCTAGACATGACTGTTCCAGTGCTTTCTAGACCTCCTACTTTCCACCCTGTGTAAATTTGAGCTGTCCACTTCTTAACTTTCACCTAATCCCATTACTTCTATCCTTACCCAATCTATATTGTCTCCCCCCGCAATGGTCGTGCATTGATAATGTTACTATGTGACTAGCAATCAAGAGGATGGGGATATGGCTTCAACTCCCACCACAGCAGGTGGTGAAATTTAGATTCAATGAATAAATCTGGAATTGCCAGCTAGTACCAGTCATAACAACCGTGATAATTGTCATTGTTGTAAAAACCCATCCAGTTATACAATACAATACAGCACAGGAACAGGCCCTTCGGCCCACCAAGCCTGCGCCAATTCCTGATCCTTATTTTGACCCACTACTTATTGACCATGCGTAGTTTCTATCCCCCTATTTGCCTCACAATCATGTGTCTATCAAGATATGCCTTAAATGTTCCTAACCTACCCGCCTCCACCAGCTCCACTGGCTGTGCGTTCCAGGCACCCGCTACCCTCCGTGTGAAAAGTTTTCCACACACTTCTCCCCTAAACTTTCCCCCTCTCATCTTGAACCTGTGTCCTCTTGTAGTTGACCTTTCCTCCCTGGGAAAAAGCCTCTGACTATCCAAAAGTCTCTGGCTACCCAAAAGTCTTTTGACAAGGCGAATTTTGATGGAATTAGACAGGGGCTTGCAGGGGTTGATTGGAATAGTTCGTTTGCAGGCAAAGGGGCCTTCAGTAAGCGGGAGGCCTTTAAAAGTGTGATAGCTAGAGTTCAAGGTCCATATGTTCCTGTGAAGGTGGCAGGAGTAGGAAACCCTGGTTGACAAGAGATATTGAGGCTTTGACCAGAAAAAAGAAGGAGGCATGGCTCAGGAACAGGCAGCTGGGATCAAGGGAATCCCTGGGGATACATAGGGGATACAGGAGTTTACTGAAGAAGGAAATCAGGAGGGTGGAAAGGGGCCATGAGATAGCTTTGGCTGAGAAGATTAAGGTGAATCCAAAGAGATTCTTTAAGTATATTAAAGGAAAAAGAATAACTAGAGAGAAGATAGGACCCCTCAAGGACCAAAGTGGATATGTATGTGTGGAACCGCAGGAGATGGGCAAGGTCCTGATTGAATATTTCTCCTCTGTGATTACTGTGGAGAAAGGCATGAAGACTTGGGAACTTGGGGAAGTTAGTGATGATATCTTCGGGACAGTCCCTATCACTGTAGAAGAAGTGTTGGAAGTATTAGAATGTTTGAAGGTGGATAAATCTCCTGGTCCTGACTGTATATATCCAGGGTTGGGAAATTGAGGACTAGAGGGCATCAGTTTAAGGTAAGAGGGGACAGAATACATGGGAGCCTGAGGGGCAACTTTTTTACACAGAGGGTGCTAAGCATATGGAATGAGCTGCCAGCAGAAGTGGTTGAGGGGGTACATTAACAACATCTAAAAGGCATTTGGATGAATACATGGATAGGAAGGGTTTAGAAGGATATGGACCAAGTGCAGGGAAATAGGGTTAGCATGGATAGACATTGTGGTCAGCATGGACCAGTTTGGGCTGAAGGGCTTGTCTCTGTGTTGGAGGAACCTATGACTATCCAAAGTCCTCTGACTATTAGTTCCCCAATGTCCTGTATGGAAAGAAATCTGCTTCCTCACCTGGTCTGGCCTACATGTGACACTAGATGCACAATAATATATTTTTTATTCCATAACCCCAGGTACTTAGTAAATGAAGGAAGCCACAGGTTTTAACTGAAAAAATTTTACTTCACAAAAAATAGAAGCATTAGTATTAACCACTACACTCTAAATGTTGATACATTGAAAATATTAAAATTACAATGAACATAATTACTTATATTCTAAACCAAAATATCCCCTTCCTAACTCCCTACCTAAACTCACCTTTACTGGCTCCATCCCCGCCTCTTCGACCTGTTTGTTTCCTCTCCACCTATCCTCTCCTCTATCCCTCTTCTATCCGCCTCCCACTCTCTCCCTATTTATTTCAAAACCCCCTTCCCCTCCCCCTTTTCTGATGAAGGGTCTAGGCTCGAAACGTCAGCCTCTCTGCTCCTATGATGCTGCTTGGCCTGCTGTGTTCATCCAGCCCTGCACCTTGTTGTCTCTCTTCCTTCTACACTTATTTGATTTATAGGCACAACATACAAGTCAAATATTCATCAAAAGATGGAAAATTAACTATTTGGTCTGATTCATATAAGGGACATGATTTCCTTCGTCTTCTGTATACTTCCAGAAATGTTTTTCCTTCAAATCTCTTCCAACTCTCTCACAGTTATATTCAATACAAGCAACTTAATCATAGCCACACCAGCTCAGAGCATTCTTGATTATAATAGGTTTTAATCCCGGAGTCTTTGTGTCTAGAACTGTCTCTTTCTTTCTCCTTAGCTTAGACATCCCAGAAATCTAGCTTGCAGTTTAGAATTTATTCAATTAACAAGAGGTTTTAACCAGTTACTGACTTTCATGAGCCCCACTGGAGCGAAATTTTCTTTGCTCTGTAACCAGATTGTTCTAAGCACTATGCAAACCATTCATCCCTATTCTGAAGTTCTTATTAACATTTTTTTCTGAGGTTGGCTGGCTCACCAAACTGCTTTGTTGTTCCGGAACAACAAACCAGCTCAGCGAGCCAACCAACCTCAACACCCACAACCCGAGCTACAAATCTACTCCAAAACCTTAGAAACGTTTTTTTCTGTTTTGTTGTTAATCTCCCATGTAACTTGGCCAAATGATCATTTACTGGAAGCCAGGTGTTTTACCAGAAATCAATTCCTTAGAAAACTTAATGCCTACATTCCATTACCCCAACATTAAATATAGATTTCTCCCCTAAAAGAACATGGGATTTAGGATTTCCTCATTATTTTCACCTTTACACTGTGGCTTTGTTTGATTATAATTGTTGAAGAATGCTTATGACCTTTCTTTGAAGTAGATGGGGTGGATGTGAGAGAGTGTTTGTATTTGAGAATGGAATGTGTCAGAAAATCATTACCTGGGAAACAGTTCTTGCTGATTTTCGCACGGGGGCTCCCTCATTCCACATTGATTTCTATTAGAATTTCCAGATTGAACACTAAGCACATATCGTATGGAAATGGATATTATTACGGTGCAATGATGAAGTGAAAAGGAATCCTGAATCGCTGAAGACATAAGTAAAGATCCCAGTGCTCGAAGGGATTTGTACAATGTAACAATTCTCTTCAAAATTGCTGAAAAGGATGAACTTCCACCCTCGTGTTAACCCAAATGTAAGACATGTCCTTGGAAGATGGTCACTCATGGTTTAAGTGATAAAGAGTTCCTATGGTTTAAGTGATAAAGAGTTCCTATGGTATACAGATATAGCTCAGTCCTTCTGTTGGTGCCAGTCAAATTGCTGAGTTTAAAACAAAGCACATGAGCAATGCTTTGAAGACATTTTGGAACAAATGCCTGTAAAATAAAACTCCCTCATTAGAGTAATGACCATTTATAGCTTGGCAGTTACATAGGAGGATTTTACCACCCAAAAACATTTGCCACTTATGGTAGAACCTATCAACCTGTCAATTTGTACTTCTTAAGAATGTATTCATGGGATGTTGGTAAGGCCAGCATTTATTGCCAATTAAGAGTCAACCACATTGTTGTGGGTCTGGAGTCACATGTAGATCAACCACTGATGGTAGGTTTCCTTTCTTGGAGGATATTGGTAAAGCAGATAGATTTTAATGACGTAACACAGTGTGGGGCTGGAGGAACACAGCAGGCCAGGCAGCATCAGATGAGCAGGAAAGTTGATGTTTCGGGTCGGGACCCTTAGAATCCCTACAGTGTGGAAACAGGCCCTTCGGCCCAACAAGTCCACACAGACCCTCAGTGCATCCCAGCCAGACCCATCCCCCACAATACACCTAATCCACACATCCCTAAACACTATGGGCAATTTAGCATGATCAATCCACCGAGCCTGGACATCTTTGGACTTTAGGAGGAAACCGGAGCACCCAGAAGAAACCCAAGCAGACACGGGGAGAATGTGCAAACTCCACACAGACAGTCGCCCAAAGGTGGAATCGAATCAGATTAGATGTATGAAATCATAATCGTACGTAAATTCCCCTCCAAACCCCACCCTTCTTCAGATTTTTATGACAATGGTTATAAAGGAGCTAGGTTTTTGTCAAATTCAATTTTTAATCTTATGCTACAATGTGATTTGAGCCCATATTCCCAGAATATTTAACGTGGTGTTCTAGATGATTAGCTCAGCAACATTGCCACTACACTGCAACCTCCACTTAATCAAAGTGTCAGTCTAAATTAAATAGAGTGATAGTTGGCAAGGAAGTGGGCCAATTAAAATAAATCAAGGGATTTATCCACTTCCTTTCTCATTTCAGTTTGGCTGACTGAATTTTAAATTGTCATGTCAAGGACATTCAGTCTCCAGCTGATGGTGTCCCCTTTAGATATGCACAAAATTCACTGAGACCTGAGCTGCTATTTTAACCTGAGTCCTGAGGTGGGAAGCAATGGGGGAGCAAGAGAAGTTGGAATATATCTGAATTATCACGACTGTACTACATGGCCAAAAGGATGAAAGTGATAAATGATATCGTTATATGTTCAGACAAATGATCGAGATGGATTTTAATTCTGTGAATTAAAGGGTTTTGAAGTGAGGTAATATTCATGGTTTCATCTTGTCTCTTTCTTTCAGGGAGAGAGGGTTAAACACTTTCTTGTTCCGTCCACACTGTGGCGAGGCTGGAGCTGTGACACATCTACTTGCAGCCTTCATGACAGCAGATAACATCTCCCACGGACTCAATCTGAAAAAGGTTGGAATGCAGTGAGATGCGGACTTTGGGGAAGGAGTTAGATCTGGAGGGTTTGCAGGGAATCCCAACAAATAGACTTTCCTCAATTTCCCAACTGGAATAATCCACTCACACAGGCTAGCTCACTCTCATAGAATCCCTACAGTACACAGTGGCCATTCAGCCCATCGAGACTGCACCCACCCTTCAAAGCGCATCCTACCCTATCCCTGTAAACCCCACATTTACCTGTACATCTGGGAGGAAACACCACACAGACACAGGGAGAATGTGTCAATTCCACAAAGACAGTCACCCGAGGCTGGATTGGACCTGTGAGGCAGCAGTGCTAACTACTGATCCACCGTGTCCCTCACCAAACTGGAGAACATGGCCAGTGATCCCACTACTTCTCACATGCTAAGTTAGTGCCCTACCATTTGAGCTAATTCCTCCACAATCCATTCCAATCCATTTGAAAAATGTAAAAACAAGCTTAACGGAGCGGTAGCTGTTTGTGCTGAAGTAATGTGAGCCTGATTGGGAACCTGGTCTCAGTTGGAAAACACTGCTCAGTCAAACAGGGCCAGCCTGTCAATGTGACAGAGCTGGGACTGGGAAATCTCCAAGCTGGGAACTCCAGCCTCCCCAGCCCAGGATAGGTTTGATGGAGGATAGCACACTGAGTCACATAAGCTGCCGAGCTGGTCAGGAAAGCTTGGACTAGTTCACTAAGCTCTGTCGACAGGCCATTCCAACAAGTGGTTTCTGTCAGTGGGATAGGGATGGACAGTGAGGCACTGGGAGCTATTTCCAACAGAAAGCGTTTCCAGTAGGAAGGTTTCCAGCTGGAGTGTTTTCACCTGAAAGACCCAGTGGTGGGTTTTCCATGTGTAGCCAGGAGATCTACATGGGGAAGCAGATTGGAGTACTCTCCAAACCCCATCCAAAAACATGGTTGTTAGTGCCCATGAGAACAATGGGGAGGTGACTGAACGCCTTACCATACATTTGGGAAATGGCTTCTGTACAATATTGCGCATCATTTGAAGCTGTTAGTAGCATCCACTGGATGATCGATGTCCATGGGTTCTTTGGTGAACTAGCATCTGGTTTATCAGTGACAATCAGTGGGCAATTCAAAGGTTGGGTTGAGAAAAGCTCCTGGACAATTTAATCCCTTATTAGTACAATTATTACCCCATTCCTCCCAGACCTGTAACTGGGGTTTGTTCTTATTGTTCTGTGAGAAGACCAGACATGTTCAGACATATGGAGGCACACATTGAATGCAGAAATGAAGAATGTAAAACTGATATTTAGAGGTTCCATTGTTCTTTCAGAGCCCAGTGCTGCAGTACCTGTACTTTCTGACTCAGATCCCCATCGCCTTGTCTCCTCTCAGCAATAACAGCCTGTTCCTGGAGTATGCCAAGAATCCACTTCCTGAGTTTCTGAGGAAAGGGCTGATGGTCTCACTCTCCACTGATGATCCCATGCAATTCCATTACACCAAGGTAAGCGCAACTGTTGTGGACCCAGACCAGAACCCCTCAAAATATTTTAAGAAGGTCACACAGACCCTAATTTTTTTTATTTTAAAGGTGGATGTGATGTGCTGTGTTCCAGATGCAATATGACTGGTCAAACTACTCAACATTAAGCAAAAACACAATTTATTTAGATACTGTAGTTAAATTGCAAACAAAAGAAAGAAGAACTTAGATTAACTTAACTCTGTTGGAAAAGTTAACTGAATACTGGGTGCAGTACTCTGTAACTATTGCGAATTAACTGTTCCAATATAGTAACATCCTGTTATCACAACCCAGATCATTTCTAAAGCAGACTTTCGCTTTGCCAGTGTTACTGTAAAGATATCTAGGGGGTTTTTTTCTGTAGTATAAACACTTTTAAAGCAATCCTGATAGCTCAAAGGGTAAATTCTGCACATAATAAGATATTAGATTATAGGACATAGGCAGTTCTCCAATCTGTCCAAAGGCTGCTGCTCGACACCAGGCACCATCAGTGGTTCCACAGTCAATGAAACTTAGAGAGCACAAGTATCAGCAAGATTCCCATTCTCCCACAACCTCCATTTGGAAGAAAGTAAAGAATTTGCATTTGCGTATCATCTTTCACAACCTCTATGTCCTCAAAACAGCCAAGAAGTAATAGTCATTTTTTCAACTGACATTGATTGAGCGATGAATATTGGCTAGAGATAACATCTTTGCTGTTCTTCATATAGTGTCTGCATCATTCTGAGGACAGATGGAGTGTCAGTTTAATGTTTCATTCAAATATGGCACTTGTAATACACTGTCAACACTGCATTGGAGTAGCAGCCTAAATTAACTGCTCAAATCATTGGTGTGGGGCTTGAACCTTCGGACTCGGAGGTACAAGGCTATCACTGCAATGAAGGAGTACATAGTTGAGTGGTAACAGGCCTAAGAGGGCGACACGTCCCTTAGGATTACAAAGCCACCAAGATTAAAGCCATTTGAGCAAGGGCCTGGAGGCAGCCTGTGCCCAACACTACCCTCGGGAGAGGACTCAGACGCCGAATGACCTGTTCTTGTGAGCTCACAATTCATGGTACTGGCCATCTTCAAGTATCTCAGATGTTCTTCAAAAATGAGCAGGTTAGGTGTCAACTGCTTTTTTCACTAATATTTGCAGCAGGGTTTACTGGATGTGACAAGAGTGACTTTTCTTTCCCCATTCTCCATCTCCTCCCTATTATCTAGCTGGCTTGAGGTCATGAGTAATGCCTTCCCCAGAGCCCAAATCACAAACTGGGGTGTGATACTTCAATAGGGATGATAAAATGTGCCAGGGAACCTCCTACTCAGTCTGACTCCATTGAAAAATAGGCAGCAATTTATCGACAAAATCAACAGAGTGTCTCACATTTCCAGACCCATGACTTCCTCAGCCTTAGATTTTTGATAGATTTTTGATAGGGGTTGATAGATTTTTGAACAGGTTATTATGTGGAGCTTCATAGAGTCATACAGCACAGAAATCTCCTGATCCATTACCATCTGTCAGCTATCGACAACAGAAATGTCTTGGCCATTATTTCAATGTTTTGTGGTGGGAGACTGGGCAGGTTTGGGCTCTTGTGGTGCAGTGTTTACCTTGGAATATTGTGTTCAGTTCTGGTCACCTCATTATAGGAAGGATGAGAAAGCTTTGGAGAGGGTGCAGAGGAGATTTACCAGGATGCTGCCTGGACTGGAGGGCAGGTCTTATGAGGAAAGGTTGAGGGAGCTAGGTCTTTTTTCATTGGAGCGAAGACGGATGAGAGGTGACTTGATAGAGGTTTACAAGATGATGAGAGGCATAGATAGAGTGAAAAGCCAGAGACTTTTTCCCAGGGTGGAAATGACTATTACGAGGGGGCATAATTTTAAGGTGATTGGAGGAAGGCATAGGGGAGGTGTCAGAGGTAGGTTCTTTACACAGAGAGTGGTGGGTGTGTGGAATGTACTGCTGGCGGTGGTAGTGGAGTCAGATATTTTAGAGACATTTAAGCAACTCTTGGATAGGCACATGGATGCTAGTGTAATGTAGGGTATGCAGGGTAGATTGATCTTAGTAGGATAATAGGTCGGCACAACATCGTGGGCCAAAGGGCCTGTACTGCACTGTACTGTTCTATGTTCTATGTTCAGAACCAGGAGGCCCAGGTTCCTGACATTCACCCTTTTATGTCAGCCACGGCACCATGAATGGACCAGATTAACAGCCCCAATAAGGGACACCCAGAACCTGTTTTACTATAGACTTCAGCCATCACCCTCTCTATTTAAATTATATTCTGCTTTTCTATTCTTCCTGTCAAAGTCGACAACCTCACATTTGCCAGATTTTCACATGGCCAGATAACTAGCTTTTTGTTCCACATGTCTTTCATTGAATTTTAAATTCACAAATTGGTACAATGACATTTGAACTCATATTTACCAATTCATTAGCCTAGACCTCTAGACTGTTTGGTTAGTAACTTAACCACTATGCTACTAGATTCCTGTATTCCCACTGTTAATTTAAATAGACTATTGCCATATCTTTAAACTCTATAACTTGTTGACAGGAACCATTGATGGAGGAATATGCCATTGCTGCTCAGGTCTTCAAGCTTAATACCTGTGACATCTGTGAGATAGCACGGAACAGTGTCCTGCAGAGTAGCTTCTCTAAACAGGTAACTGGATATGATTTGGGGATATTTAGGTTGTACTGGTGAGCCTTCCAAAGCCGTTTTTGAAAAGTTAACTCTCTTACACATTGACACAGGGATGTGATGGCCTCGTGGTATTATTGCTGGATTGTTAATCTAGAGACCCAGCTAATGTTCTGGGGATATGGGTTTGAATCCTGCCATGGCAGAAGTTGGAATTTGAATTCAATCAAAATCTGGAATTAAAAGTCTAATGATGACCATAAATTCATTGTCAATTGTTGGAAAAAACCACCTTGATCACTAAAGTCCTTACCTGGTCTGGCCTACATGTGGCTCCAGACCCACTGCAATGTGTTTGACTCTTAACTGCCCTCTGGGCAATTAGGGATGGGGAATAAATGCTGGCCCAGCCAATGATGCCCTCATCTCATGAATGAACAAAAAAAAACTTCTAGTCTTATCACACCTTAGCTTTTTTTGATTAAATACCTTTCTCCCCTTCAAGGTGAAAGTTTAGCCTGTTTATGAAATATAATCATATGGCACAATTCAACTCATATCAATTATATACTAATAATGAAAGGTATATGTTGAAAACAACGGGCATAAAAATCAAAAGAAACAGCGTTATGCTAAACGTTTGTAAATCACTAGTTGGTACTAGACTGGAATATTGAAACCATTTCTGGACACTGCACTTTGGGAACGTGCCTTAGGTCCGAAAGAGATAGCAGGAGTGATTGGAGAAGTGGCGGAAATATTTAATCCTGTCCTGTCCTCTTTATAGCTCCCCCTGCCAAAAGATCGACAGTCATGGTATCCGATACTTGTTTATCTTGTACCAACCTCACACATCCACTGTAACTCAACTTCAATCACTGTGACATCCATCATCCAATTATTCCTGGGTTGATCCGTCATTCCACTGCCCTCCCCTTTGCCCCTCTGTTGCTTTTCCGCTCTTAACAAATAGCCATTACTCACATTTCCTTTTCCATACATCATGTTTTAAGAGTCCTTTTCACTTTGCAGTTTCCCAGCTTATTTGTCTTAGGGTGTGTTTATGGAATTTAGTAGCGATTTAACAGCGTTGTTCAAACTTACGCGGGGTTTTGATAGGGTGAATGAAGAGGGACTGTTTCTATCCACGAGTGCATTAGTAACCAGAGAACATAGGTTTGACAGAAGCAGCAAAACAACTATTTTTATGTTTAACCTATATTTCCTAATCAAGCTATTCTTAACACACCTTGCAGTAGATGGGATTTGAACCTGGGCCTCCCAGCCCAGGGTAGGGACACTATCAGTGTGCCAAAGCGATTTGTTATGATTTGCAATATATTGTCTGAAAGGAGGTTGGAAGCAAATTCAACAGAAACTTTCAAAAGTCAATAGCACTGATGGACCACATGGCCTCCTTCAAATGCGTAAGATTCTCTGATTTTAGCAACATCATGAGGCTCACGCAGAAAAAAAAAATCTAAGGTGTACATCAATAGCTACCCTTTTTTTTCTCTTAAAGGCTACACTTCCTGATGTTAACTTGGGGTGAAAATTAAGCGGGGGTGAACAGATGGTGATCCACCCATTCCCTCAAAGGGTGAATTAATTGGCAAAAACTCTATAAAACTGACTGCAATTTGGAGCCAGCGGGAATAACGCTGACGTTTGTAGTGGTTGGAGTGGACCCTTGGAACTGGTACATAAACAGAAATTACTGGAAAAGCTCAGCCAATCTGGCAACATCTGCGGAGAGAAATCAGTGTTGGTGTTTCGGGTCCAGCGACCCTTCTTCAGACCTTCAGACCCTCCTTCAGTGACCCTTCTAGTTTCAGTTTTTGTTTTAGATTTCCAGCATCTGCAGTTCTTTTAGTTTTTTTGCCCACAGAACTGGTGTTCGACAAAGTAAGGGAGTATCTGTGTGGATTAGCAAATCCACCTGGTCCCCAATTCCATTTCCCCACCTCCCAGTGAAGAATGCCTAGGGAAAGAAAGATTCCTTATGGGACCAAAAGATTTGACTTTCGCCCCCTTGGCCACAAGGTGGCTAGGTCTTTATTAGTCTCCAACATTTGCTGACAGATTCAGGACTAGTGTGTCTTGAGTGGACTTGTGGTTAGCATGACCTGTAAGTTATCAAGACATCATCCAGCCACAAATTTGCAAATGAAAGTAAGACCCTGGCCATGATGGAACTGGTTTGATCTTCCCATTCCTAAATCCAAGCAAGCTACAATGAAGAAAACCTGAACCATGTTGTGTTGAAGCGCAGACTTCAGAAAGGAGTTAAATCTTTAAAGAATCTAGATCATCAGAGGTCTCTATCTTACTCTGTCTGCAGTTCATCAGTTAGTTTGGCTGTGTTACCTAGTCATTCTATACGGCCAATCAGTCAATCAATCAACTATGTATAGGTACAGGTAAAGTCATCATAGTCCCACCGGACCATAGGGCTGCTCGCTCACTGAGACAGTCAACTGGCAGTGGTTAAACTTGGGGGTCACTATGCCTGAAATGAAAGGAGAATCCATGGTTTAGACATCACTCTTCATTGCAAACCAGCCATCTGGCCAACTGAGCTAACCAACCCCTCTATACATATATATATAGTTATGCAAGTAAGCATAGATCCAGGTTTTGTATAAGTCTGAGGAACAATACTTTTTGTTTCTTTATTCATTTACGTGATGAGGGAATCACTAGCGAGGCAGCATTAATTGCCCATCCCTAATTGCCCAGAGTCAACCGCATTGCTGTGGGTCTGGAGTCACATATAGGCAAGACTAGGTAACAATGACAGTTTCCTTCCCTAAAGGGCATTAATGAACCAGACGGACTGGTTTTATATTTTTAAAAAGATGAGTCCTTTTTTGTTCACCATCTCCCTTCTGTCACTTTGTTTACCAGAAGGATTTTGTGCTTTCGATGGGATTGAAGCACTGATTTGAATGTTTACTTCATCTTACTTTTCAGGAGAAGGCTCACTTTCTGGGATCTAACTACCATCAGGAAGGCCCGGCAGGAAACCGCATTCAGAAGACGAATGTACCTCAGATACGAATGGCCTACCGCTACGAAACACTCTGCTACGAACTGAACCTGATCAAGGAAGGATTGAAAGATCTGGAGTAAAAACACCACTGCTACATCAGTGGGAGTTTGGCAATGTGGGCTGTTCTGCCCTTAAGCACAAAAGCTGCTCCTGTAGCTCTGGACCTTGAGAGAGACTCGTAGCATTTTCATAAGCCAATGGCAACATTTTGGGAAAATTATTAGTTATTGATGTGAAAAGTTACTCAAACAAAAATAGATGACTTCCTGGCCTTTCAATGAATTTAGGGTTTTTATCTTCTGCTACGACCATGGATCGTCAAGTCTGAAGAACACCTCACATTTTCCAGTCACTTGCATACTTATGCCTTTCTCCATTGCACAATCATTTGATCTAAAGTAATGTAATGGTATTAAGCTCCGTTTATTTTCAGTCCAGTTTCATTAAGGTATAAATGCAGACTGTGATTTGGGACTGTGTGTTGCATCTGTGGCAGCTGGAATTCTGAACATTCTTACTTTGCAGTAGAATATTTTCTGAAATTTCTGCCCTGTTCTTCCCTTATCTGAACTCAACTTCTCTTTCTATTTCCAAATGTGATAGAGTTAGACAATTTCAGAACGTAAGCCCCTGCTCGCACCATTTCAGTGTGTTGCTTTGCTGTAACTAACCCTTATTGTGGTGTGTCTTTTATTCAGCTTTTGTTTTGACTGTTCCAGAGCAGGTCACCCAGCAATTTCTATCAACAAGATTTAATGGCTCACTCTATGCTTCTCTAGTGATGGAAGCATATTGCCCCCTGTCATCCTGCCTGGGATGTACTGAAATCTTCATCATAATATCCATCCCTCAGTCTGGGAGACAATCAGGAAATTACAATTGGCCTCAGGTGTTTTGAAGCAGTGAGGGAGATTTCCAGCAAGCTATCTGATGCTCATGCCTGCCAGAATATGGCCTGGTTGTCAAAACTCCATTGGCTGAAGATGTTAACCACTGCTGATCATAGAATCCCTACAGTTGGGGGGAAGGCCATTCGGCCCATCAAATCCTCACCAACGCTCCAAACAGCATCCCACCCAGACCCACTCCACACCTGCATTTCCCCTGGCCGATCAACCTAGCCTGCACACCCCTGGACACTATGGGCAATTTAATACAGCCAATCCACCCTAACCTGCCCATCTTTGGACTGAGGGGGGAAGCCAGAGTACCCAGAGGAAACCCATGCAGACACGGGGAGAATCATAGAATCACTATAGTGTGGAAACAGGCCCTTCGGCCCAACAAGTCCACACCGACTCTCAGATTATCCCACCCAGACGCATCACCCTATAACGCACCTAATCTACACATCCCTGAACACTATGGGCAATTTAGCACGGCCAATCCACCTAACCTGCACATCTTTGGATTGTGGGAGGAAACCAGAGTACCCAGAGGAAACCCACGCAGACACGGGGAGAATGTGCAAACTCCACACAGACAGTCGGCCAAGGGTGGAAACGAACCCAGATCCCTGGTGCTGTAAGGCAACAGTGCTAACCACTGAGGCACCATACCAGATTGACAGTGTTTGAGAGGTCATTTTGCTCTTTGGACCATAAACAGAATAAGGTTCACTGCTTTCAGGATGGGGTGGGGCATGAGTGAAGCAGCAATGGAAAACATGTGTGATGAAATATGACAGATAAAACTAGGAGGTGGCAGTTCTTCATATTGAGACTGGGATATATCTGGGCTCATGTGTCAATCATAGCTCTGGCATTAATATTTAGCTCTACATCAGCATGCAAATAAAGATAAGTGCACCTAAGTTGGTAAACTTGCTATTGGCTGAAGCAGCTAGCAACTGAATATAGCTGACAGTCAATATGGAATATTGGTAACAGGCACCTGACTACTGTTTAAGTGATCGTAATTAGGTCAGCCAGGTACAATATGAGTTCCCTGATTGGGGCTGTTAACCTCGTCCAATCAGGGAGCCCTGGCTGACAGATGAAAACAGGATTGCCAGGGACTCTGTTCACTCTGAGACCTGACTCTGTGTCAGCTGGGTCAGTGTCGTGTACTATGCACATGTAAATAGAGGGTGACTTAATGATGGGATACCGACCTTTGCGGAGTTATTTCAGTGGTGATGAGAGAAAAACATGCCTCTGAAGAGATTTGCTCACAACAGTCACCTTTGAGTTGAGTTAAGCATTTCCAGCATCATGCTGCTATTTGGGAAGCTTAACTCATTCGATTCTGCCATCAAAGACTGGACCCAGTATGTGGAAAGAGTCTGTTAATTTTTCCAGGCAAATGACATTGGGGCAGATGAAAAGCAATGAATAATTCTCCTGAGATAGTAGGAACTGCAGATGCTGGAGAATCCGAGACAACAAGGTTCAGGGCTGGATGAACACAGCAGGCCAAGCAGCATCATAGGAGCAGAGAGGCTGACGTTTCGGGCCTAGACCCTTCATCAGAAAAGGGGGAGGGGAAGGGGGTTTTGAAATAAATAGGGAGAGAGTGGGAGGCGGATAGAAGAGGGATAGAGGAGAGGATAGGTGGAGAGGAAACAAACAGGTCGAAGAGGCGGGGATGGAGCCAGTAAAGGTGAGTGTAGGTAGGGAGTTAGGAAGGGGATAGGTCAGTCCAGGGAGGACGGACAGGTCAAGGGGGCGGGATGAGGTTGGTCGGTAGGAGATGGAGGTGCGGCTTGAGGTGGGAGGAGGGGATAGGTGGGAGGAAGAACAGGTTAGGGAGGCAGGGACGAGTTGGACTGGTTTTGGGATGCGGTGGGGGGAGGGGAGATTTTGAAACTTGTGAAATCCACATTGATACCATTGGGCTGCAGGGTTCCCAAGCGGAATATGAGTTGCTGTTCCTGCAACCTTCGGGTGGCATCGTTGTGGCACTGCAGGAGGCCCAGGATGGACATGTCATCTGAGGAATGGGAGGGGGAGTTGAAATGGTTCGCGACTGGGAGGTGCAGTTGTTTGTTGCGAACCGAGCGTAGGTGTTCTGCAAAGCGGTCCCCGAGTCTCCGCTTGGTTTCCCCGATGTAGAGGAAGCCACACCGGGTACAGCAGATGCAGTATACCACATTGGCAGATGTGCAGGTGAACATCTGCTTGATGTGGAAAGTCTTCTTGGGGCCTGGGATGGGGGTTGGGGGGAGGTGTAGGGGCAGGTGTAGCACTTCCTGTGGTTGCAGGGAAAAGTGCCGGGTGTGGTGGAGCTGGAGGGGAGTGTGGAGCGGACAAGGGAGTCACGGAGAGAGTTGTCCCTCCGGAAAGCAGATAAAGGTGGGGAGGGAAAGATGTCTTTGGTGGTGGGGTCGGATTGCAGATGGCGGAAGTGTCGGAGGATGATGCGTTGGATCCGGAGGTTGGTGGGGTGGTACGTGAGGACGAGGGGGATTCTTTTTTGGTTCTTATTGTGGACGGGGTGTGAGGGATGAGGTGCGGGAGATGTGATTCTCCTGACAGCTTTTGGACCTGCAGAGTTTTCAGTTATTAGGGGACTAACTTTGTTTGAGGCATCAGATACTAAAACCTTTCAGGAGTTGATGGATTTAGTTAGGAATATTATGACCCAAAACCTCGTCTGATACTGAGACATTATTGGTTTTACTCAGCATTCAAGAACAAGGGGAATCTGTATCGGGATATTTGACTGGGTTAAGATGACTGGTAGAGGCATGTGACTTAACGAGATACTGAGAGCCTGTTGGTATGTTGGATTAATGATGTAACCATGCAAAAGCACCAACTAGTTGAAACCCAACTGGCTTTGTCATTGGAAAATGCAGCAAGTGGAGCATATGAGTCGCAGTGTATTCTGATGAAAGTGGGCACTATCGCCAGTCCAACTGAGCTTGGGGAACACCACTTGAGTGAAGGCATAGCCTCACTCAGGACATCTCCTGAACAGAGGGACCCTAGGTCAGCCCACAGCAAAACCCCAAAACAAAGCCAAGCCTCGACCAAAAGGTTAAAGTTTTCTTCAGGATCAGGGCTAGCAAGCCATTGCAGTTGCTGCTGGTATGTGGACTCAAGACCACAAAAGAATCCCACTTGGCCTGAATTGAGCAAGAGAACTTATAGGCCGTTATCCAGGAGAGTGCACAACCTGGAAAGCCCACCTACATCTGGCTTGGAGCAGTTACATTGCTTAGCAGCATCCAAATCAGAACCAATCAAAATAAACACCTAGTCAAAAGGTCACCTAGTCCTAATGGAGGTCAATATGGTGCAGTTGCATCAGTGATTGGGGATCAAGTCTCTACCAAAATTCATTCTAGACTCCAGCCTTTAAGTTTGCTTACGACCTCTGCGAGACTGAGAACATATACTGGGAAACCTCTACAGAATAAGGGTACAACTTTGGTTCCAAGGAAAAGCAGCTGGTTTAGTTACCACTGAATGTAGTAAAAGGCTCAGGCCCAAGCTTGATGGGGTGAAATTGGTTGAGAAGGATTCAACTTGATTGGCTGAATATTTCTTGATTGGAAAATGGCTGCCCGAGTGAAGTCCCAATTAAGAACATAAGAACTGGGAGCAGGAGTAGGCCATCTGGCCTCTCGAGCCTGCCCCACCATTTAATAAGATCATGGCTGATCTTTTTGAGACTCAGCTCCACTTACCCGCCCACTCACCTTAACCCTTAATTCCTCTACTTTTCAAAAATTTATCTAGCCTTGCCTTAAAAACATTCAGCGAGGTAGCTTCAACCGCTTCACAGGGCAGGGAATTCCACAGATTCACAACCCTTTGGGTGAAGAAGTTCCTCCTGACCTCAGTCCTACATCTGCTTCCCTTTATTTTGAGGCGATGCCCTCTAGTCCTAGTTTCACCCGCTAGCGGAAACAACCTCCCTGCCTCCACCTTATCTATTCCCTTCATAATCTTATATGTTTCTATAAGATCTCCCCTCATTCTTCTGAATTCCAATGAGTATAATCCCAGTCTACTCAGTCTCTCCTCATAACCCAACCCTCTCCACTCTGGAATCAACCGAGTGAATCTCCTCTGCACCCCCTCCAGTGCTAGTATATCTCTTCTCAAGTAAGGAGACCAAAACTGCACACAGT